TTACAAAATGCAAAAATTGTGCCTTGTGTAGTGTGGATAGAAGATAGACCCGGAACTGTATGTTGAGACAGTTTATCAGAAGCCTTTAGGAGTTTGTCTTGAGTACTTGCGGGCGGGCTGTGGGAGGTTTAGAGCATTTTTTTTTTTTTTTTTTTTTTTTGGAGAGTTTGATAGATGGTGAAGTTCAACCAGTGTGCTGGGAGTTGCTTTCTGAATTCTTGTATCTAAATTTAACTGACTTGGGAGCCACACATTTCAGAAAATAACTCCAAAAAGGACTCACAGACTCCGTCAGAGTTTTCCATCTCGTGGTAGAATAGTTGACTTCTAGTATTCATGCTTCACTATAAATCCATTAATCCACCTTGCTTTATTCTTTGCTAGGAATCACACAGGAGAGAACTGGAGTTTGGCTGGAGCAGGAAGGAGAAAGAGTTACTTGCAAAGTTTGCTAATGGGCTCAGTCGTGAGGATTCGAGGCACCTTAGCTTGGACAGGCTTATGCATGCCAAAGGCAGCCATCGCTTATTTGGGCCGGTGTTAGTTCAGAGGATCTCAGTGGGCTGGCCAAGGAACATATTAGCACTCAGAACACTGTTTCTCTGGGAAAATGCATTCCAGTTTCCAAATGACTACCCCGAAACTGGCACAACTTGTTCAATAAGTGGTACTGCCAGTGATTAACGGTTATGATTAATGATATGAGTGATTATGGTTTTGCTTATGATTAATGGTTATGATTGATGATATGAGTGACTATCAAAAGCCAGTGAATGGGGAATGTGAGAAAATGTGTTACAGCTCAAAAGATTTTAGTTCCCGTGTGGGTTGCTTTCATTTGTTGGTGTGTTGAAATCATTCTTTCCTTGTTTTTTAATGGCAGTAGAATTTCATTTTTAGGAGCAAAAGGTAGATCAGATGTTTGTCAAAGACAAACCTGTGTGTACAAAAATGCTTCCTTTAGGGCTTATTGGTTAACTGTGTTTACATAGAACAGTCATTAGGTGTTGGCTGTGTTTGCAAACAATGGCAAGTTGGTGCCCAGGTATTTCAAAGGAGTGGCACTTCCTTTCTGTGGTCATTCATCTAAACTGATTGCAAATACACATTTTAACTTTGTTAAAAAATTTGGGTTTAAAAATGTGATTTTGTGGGGCGCCTGGGTGGCTCAGTCCGTTAAGTCTCCAACTTCGGCTCAGGTCATGATCTCTCGGTTCGTGGGTTTGAGCCCCACTTTGGGCTCTGTGCTGACAGCTCAGAACCTGCTTTGAATTCTGTGTCTCTCCCTCTCTTCCTCCCCAACTCAAACCCTTTCCCTCTCAAAAATGCATAGACATTAAAAATATTTTTTTAAATAAAATATGATTTTGTGGATGTAGTAATTGCTCTAGAAAGTGGGACTTATAAATTTAGGGGCTTATATGGGTTATTCATTCTGTCGTTGTTTTCTCTGTGCCTCTTGTACTTACACTGCCTGTGAGGCCCCAAGCCCTAAGGACCATATAACAAAATAAAGTAACAGAAGCAAATAAAATCTTGATCCGTAGGATATCATCGCCTAATTAGAAAAAGAGAGGTCAGGAAGGCAAATATCAGAAAATTTGTCCAATGGTAAATTTCATTATGCAAAAAAAAAAAAAAAAATCTATTTGGATTTCTCTATATTCTTTCCTGGTTAGAATGCCATTTTTACTTTGTGTGAATTTTGAGATACTCTTGAGAAGGATAATTAGAATGATCCATTTGGAGTTTAGGACTCTAAATGAAAGTGAAATAGTAAGTATAATGGGAATAAAGATTTTTGCTGTAAGTCCTTGTGAGAAGTTAAGGATGCTGAAGACGTCCCTGGGCCTGGAATTGTACTACTGTGTCTGTCAGGAGAAGAGGCCTTACTTACTTCTCCGGTTTTCCTCCGCGACCCTTTTGAGGGTCTTCTTTTATCACCTTCCTGGCAATAATATGTTGAGATTTTGTCTCCCTCCATAGACTATAATATCCAGAGGGAAGGGGCCATGTTTTATCTTAAAATACCAGCACCGGGGCGCCTGGGTGGCTCAGTCGGTTAAGTGTCTGACTTCATCTCAGGTCATGATCTCACGGTTTGTGGGTTCGAGCCCCGCATCGGGCTCTGTGCTGACGGCTAGCTCAGAGCCTGGAGCCTGCTTCACATTCTGTGTCTCCCTCTCTTTCTGACCCTCCCCTGCTCATGCTGTTGCTCTCTCTCTCTCAAAAATAAGTGAAATATTTAAAAAAAAAATACCAGCACCTATGATGCTTGATACATTTAGTTTCTTCCTTCAGCCATGGTCCTTTCTCTTCCCGAAGATATGTTGGTTTTTTGTTTTTTTTTTTCTTTTAGAATAAGGTGGAAGGAAGGATGAAGCATTTGGATTTTAATCTGTAGGCGAAAGAAAACTATTAAATTTTAACCTGTGGTCAAAAGAAAAATACTGAAGGGTTTGAGGAGGAGAATCACAGCATCAAAGGGGTGTTTGAAAGAGATTGAAGACACATTGAAGTGGCCTGGTACTTCTCAGTAGCCACTTAATATCAAGCAAAGCTGGTGAGATGGTGTTTGACACACCATCTCCACTGCTTCATGAATGTCATCGGCAGTTAAAAATCTGAGTTTCCCCAAAGAGCAAACCGTAACACAGTTATTAGTGGTCCTTATCCATCAGTTTATAATCTCCAGCTCAAGCAGTCCTTGGCTGGGAAACTCAACCTCCCACAACACACACACATCAACAACACTTTAAAAATTACCCACACACCGTTTAACAAAAACACTTCACGTATTATTTATAGCCATTCGACACTTTGCAGGTATTCCCGTACAGGTCAGTGTTCTCTCTAACAGAACCTTAAGTAGAAAGACTATTAAATGCCCAGGAAGGAGGGAATGCAGTATATGCTTTTGCTTGTCAAAGGAATTTGTTCTATTACATCAGCAAAGCAATGGCTCAGAATCAGAAGTGAGATTAATTATATAGGGCTTAATAATGTTGTAGTTTATGTTATTGATAAAACTGGATTTTACCTTGATTCGTGCAACATTTATTGTGTGCCAGACCTAGTTCTTAGGGAGTTCGACCACTCTATAGCATGGCCTGTGGCCTCCAGGAAGAGTGGAGCTTCTCTGGGGAAAACAGATAACAAAGGTAAGGGTGTCCTCTGTGCTTTTGTGAAGGAATATGCTAGGTGCCATGGAAGCCCAGAGGAGCTGTGGAGAGCTGATTAACGCCTGGGGCCATAGGGGAGGTTTCCGGGATGTAGCTGCATGCAGGCCTCGGGCAGAAGAGAAGCAGGAAAGGGCAAAGGGAGTGAGGGTTGAGGAGGCTGGGAATGCCCTTTGAGGAGAAAGACTGTGAAGAGCCTGGTTTGAAAGTGATGCTTAGGGGCGCCTGGATGGCTCAGTCGGTTCAACATCCGACTTTGGCTCAGGCCATGATCTCACGGTTCGTGGGTTCAAGACCCGCGTCGGGCTCTGTGCTGACAGCTCAGAGCCTGAAGCCTGCTTTGGATTCTGTGTCTCCCTCTCTGTCTGCCCCTTCTCCCCTCACATTCTGTCTGTCAAAAATAAATGTTTAAAAAATTAAGAAAAAAAAGAAAATGATGCTTAAATCATCAAATCTTACCCATGATTCTGCTTTCCTCCTCCCTCTCCCCCCATGTAAAATATATAAAGGCACACTCCTAGAAATTTGCAGATGGGCCACCTGGCTGGTCAATTGCTGGGGCATGTACCTCTTGATCTCGAGGTTGTGAGTTTAGTCCCCAACATTGGGTATAGAGATTACTTTAAAAAAAAAAAAAAAAAGATGATGGCTCTATTGGGTAAATATCTGACTCTTGATTTTGGTTCAGGTCATGACTCAAGGTTTGTGAGATCGAGCCCTGGGTGGGGGCTCTATGCTGACAACATAGAGGCCGCTTGGGACTCTCTCCCTCTCCCTCTCTCTCTGCCATCCCCCCCACTTGTGCATACATGTTTGCACACACACTCTGCCTCAAAAGAAATGAACAGTAAAATAAAATATTAAAAAAAGAAGAAATTTGGAGACCAACTTTTTAAAGCAGAAATAAAATACTTTTAACCCCAACACATGGAGATAGTTACTGTCTTATTCTGCTTTAGTCTCAGTCCAAGATGTGCCACTAAAAAGTATGTGAGGATCTGCTTTGGACCTGGAATGACAGGCCATTAGGGGCCCAACAGGGAGGGCACTCTCTGGGGGTGGGCAGATGACGCCCAGTGGGCCACAGCTGCCGAGGTAGAGCAGACTCACTGAGGACATCTGGGATGGGGCATAGCTAAGAAATATGTGGCAGATCCATCCATGGGATTTGATGACCTGTTGAAAGTGAGATTGAGGAAGAGGAGGAATAAAATTTCCACGGGGTTGTTCTGAGCTGGTTTCTAGCTTGAGCAGGTGGTTGGGGAGTGGCGCTACCAGAAAATATGGAAGAAAAACTGTTTTAAGAAAGCTGATAGGTTCCTAGGTTCCATTTCTTTCTCTTTTAAACAAAATAAGAAACTTTGCTTTTTAGAGCAGTTTTAGGTTCACAGAAAAAATTGAGGGAAAGGTTACCGAGAGTTCCCATATACCTCCTTCCCCCCCCCCCCGCCCCCATGCACAGTGGCTGGTACTGTGGACGTTTTTCACCAGAGTGGTACATCTGTTGCAGATGATCCTACACTGGCACATCATTGTCACCCAAAGTCCATGGGGTGGTGTACATTCTGTGGGTTTGTGCAAATGTGTGATGTGAACATGCTAGTCAGCTGTTGCAGTGTCCTACGCGAGAGTTCCACTGCCCCCACAGTCCTCTCTGCTCTACCTCTTCTTCCATCCTTCTCACGACTCCTAGGTGTAGATCCCTACACTGGAGATCCCTAGGTAGGAGATCGCTACATTGGAACATACTGCATATGAGGATCTTGGAGTATGGACCCAAGTGGTGGTCAAATTTTAATTAAATTTTTTTTAAACCAACAGGGCCCTTTGATCAAAGAAGCCTCATTAAGTGGAGCTGAGTGAAGAAAGGCCACGTGGGCGGAAGGTGGCACCTGAAGAAGGACGGGGTCCGGTGCTTCGCTGTCGCCCTGGTGTCCAGCTCCGGTCCGCCATTGCCTTGCTGCAGCCTGTGAGACTCTCTGCAGTCCCCAGAATTCCGAAGAACTGCATGGTAAGCAATTCTGGAGCCAGGAGGAAGGGCTGGTCGTTCCCAGATGCAGCGACCTCAAACTCTCATGCTTTTTGTACCTGCTGTCTGCTTTTCAGTAGTTTTTTCATTTTGTTTTGTCTGACGTGTTTTGGTCCCTTTCCTTGGGGCCAGGCTGCCAGCTTTGACGTCATGTGCTGTCAGGCACCTGCTAGTGGCATCTCCTCACCTGTCTCCCAGTTTGCTGCTCTGATTTGCTGTAAACCTGCTTGGGGAACCTAAGTCGCAAATAGTTGCAAGTGGGTCCTGTGTGATCTTTTCTGTACAGACTTGGCAACATCCATTTTGGCAGGTCCAGCTCTTTTTGGCTTGTTTGTAGTTCTCAGTTGGGTTTTGTGCAGATGGAACTGCTGGATAGTCAAATTTTATACAGTGATCACCTCATTTCTGTTGGGGTCCATTTATCTTCTTGCCTTTCCCTCCTTTCTGACTGCTTCTGGAATTATGTAGAAAGTATAAATTGTGGCCTCAGAAATATCTGTCCCCAGCTCTGTTGGGTGAATCATAGCATTTCATGCTGATTAGGAAGAATGTGATGTCATAATTTTGATTCCTAATTAGATGCTAATATGTTGAGATGGTTGAGGCTGGTTTGTTGTTGTTTTTTTTTGTTTTGTTTTGTTTTTTTTTTGCTTTTTATGTGAACCCTTACCCTCTTTTTCCCTTCTTTGACGCTGATGATTTTTTTAAATTGTTTTTCTTTCTTTTCTTTTCTTATTTTTTTTTCTTGGTACCTAGTAACTTCTACGGTGGGGCATATAGGAGGGATAAGTCGAAGTGTACCCAAATACTTCTGTTACTAATAAAAAATAGCATCTTTGCATTAAGTTTACAGTGTTCGAACTGCTTTGGCACATATCCTCTCGGTATGAAAAGTAGTGATTTTTCTTTCAGTTTTGCAGAGGAGGAAATAAGATAAAAATGATTGATTACTTAAAGGTCACATTTAGTGAGGAAGCCAGCATTCAGATTCAAGTCTTCTTCCTCCACATCCTTCCTCCAAATATTCATTATATCATGTTGCATCTTGTTGCTGGAGGCACTGGTTACATTGTGGGACCTTCCATTTCTGGAATGGTGTATAGCACCTCCAAGCATATGCTGATGACAGTGTAAAGAATAGAATGTGGAATGGTACAAACTTAAACTGTAGTCTTCCCAAGATTGTTTTGACATTCTCTTACAACAGTCTTCTGAGTTGCTTACCATTAAAATATTCAGTCATGTTGTTACTATTCAGAATACCACGTGGAAAAAAATGTGTAACATTTTACATCTACCTTAAAAGTGGCCCAAACGATTAGGTGTGTTTGTTAGATCCCCACTTTGCTGCTCTGTTGCCTGTTCTTCCCTTTCACTACATTTGGCATCACTAAAATATCAAACAGGCAATAGAATAATAATTCTATCTCCAGAAGTGATACCGAGAAACAGTAAAAAATGTTGTCTCGTCTCTTTATTAAAACACACACACACACACACACACACGCACACACACACCCCAATTCTATGGGCACCTGGGTAGCTCAGTCGGTTGCACCTCTGGCTTCGGCTCAGGTCCTGATCTTACAGTTTGGTTCATGAGTCCAAGCCCGGTGTTGCGCTCTGTGCCTGCTTCAGATTCTGGGTCTTTCTCTCTCTCTGCCCCTCCCCCACTCCTGCTGTCTCTCCCCCACTCCTGCTCTGTCTCTCTCACTCTCTCTCAAAAATAAAGAAACATTTAAAAAATGTGCAAAATTAAATAAACAATTCTAGGGGTGCCTTGGTGGCTCAGTTAAGCGCCCGACTCTTGATTTCGGCTCAGGTCATGATCTCACAGTCATGAGTTCAAGCCCCTTGTCAGGCTCTGTGTAGATGGTACTGATCCTGCTTGGATTCTCTTTCTCACCTTCTCTCTCTCTGCCCCTCCCCTGCGCTCTCTCTTTCTTTCTCTTTCAAAATAAATAGATAAATAAACTTAAGAAAAATAAAAAAAATAATTCTAAATCTCCACTGAAACTTAAGAAATGGTATCCAATCAACATTGACATTCTAGCTGAAGAATCAAACTAGATGAGTGTTCAGGAGGACCATATCCCAAGGATTTAAGTGAATGTAAATCAGGTCTATCCCAGTGGCTTATTAAATATAAATTCCAGTGACACCAGTTCACCTCATCACCTCCTGTCATGAACAAGGGCTGCCTGTTATAACCCTGTCTTGGTGTAGGCAAAATATATCACTTTTTATGAGGGCCTTTTGTGAAATTCAGTATTAATATAAAAAGAAATGAAGCTGTTTTGGAAGTTCTATTTTGAAATGAGATTGTGTGTGTACTTTATGCACTGTGATATATTTGTGGGATTTATTGGATGAGACTCAGGCAGTCGTTATGTAGTGACTCTGGGCCACAGTTTTCCCCAATCTACAAATGATGACAAAGTTTAACTTCAAATATTCTTGTACTTAGTTGTGTATTATAGGGTAAATTTATTAACCCAAAAACATTTTCAGGCAGTAGATTCTATTACATTCCTATTAAGGAGGGGTCATAAAGTCAGTTTTATGAAAGAGTGAATTTCAAATTCTGTGGACCTTCTAATGGATTTGAAAACACAAAGATTCTGAGTATTAGTAGCTTTTAATACAACTATGAGATGTGGAGTGTGCCTGAGTGGCTTAGTCAGTTGAGTGTCTAACTCTTGATCTTGGCTCAGGTCATGATCTCATGGGCTCATGCTGACAGCATGAAGCCTGCTTGAGATTCTCTCTCTCTCAAAAATAAATAAACATATATACACATATAGAATAGATACCAGATGTGTTAGTGCATGAAAAGATTTCTATTTTTACTTTCTTTCAGAATGCTCACAGTTGTTGAATCTATAGATGTTTTCTGAATGTAATTATTTGTTTTGACTGAAGGAATTTTATAGTTTGTATTGTAGAAATAACTGATTCCAAGAAAATTAAGCTCAATAATATTGATCGATAGTGTGTAAAATTGCTATTGGTTGGTTCTGGGATAGAAAATAGATCTCATTTAAAAAATAATCTTTATGGACATTATTCTGCTGTATTTTCAGCTTTTTCTTAGCATGGAAACAAATGATATTTTTAAAACAGAACTTCCTTTCTCCCCTAAGCTATGACCATCAGAGAAAATTGATATGTTTACATGAATCAGCATTAAGTGGAAGAAAGGATCTGAAAGGCAGGCAGAATGCCATGGATGGCCCAAAACTATGCTTGTCCTTCACTGAGTTTGGGTTGTTGAAAGGTGATCATCCTTTATACTTGGGTCTGTGGTGTATGTGTGAGGTCCTAACATTTTATATTATCAGGGATTCTAATTCCCTTCAAGACTTGCATGTACCAGTGGCACATTATTTTCCATCTCAAAATTAGATGAAAACCTAAAATTTTGTTAGAGGGAGACCTTATTTGTAAAATCCCTTGAAGGTGGTGATGAAGCAAATTATTATAACATCTGGAGTGAGATTTTTCCACTCTATTTTACTGTGGTACAATACATAAAAGGGACCATTTAAACCATTTTTAAGTGTACAATTCCATCGTATTAAGTTCATCACATGGTTGTGCAACTATCACTACCACCCTTCTCCAGAACTTTTTCACCCCCCAAACTGTAACTGTGTCCCCATTCGGCAGAACTTCATGCCCTTTCCCCCAGTTTCTGCTAACTTCTGTTCTACGTTCTGTCTTTACGAATTTGACTATACTAGTTACTTCATATAAGTGGAATCAAACAAAATTTCTTATTTTTTAAGTTTAGAAATAAACTTACTTTGAGAGAGAAAGATAGCATGTTCATGGGCACAAGTGGAGGAGGGGCAGAGAGAGAGGGAGGCAGAGAATCCCAAGCAGGCCCTGCCTTGCCAGCACATAGCCTGGCCTGGGGTCAAACCCATGAAGCTTGAGATCATGACCCAAGCCAAAATCGGGAGTCGGACACTTAGCCGACTGAGCCACCGAGGTGCCCCCAAATTTGCTCTTCTGTGTCTAGCACATTTCATCAGCATAACATCTTCAGGCTTCTTTCCATGTTGTAGCATGTATCAGAATTTCTTTCCTTTTTAAGACTGAATACTATTCCATTGTGCATATATACCACTTTTTTTGTCTTTTTTTTTTTTTTTTTTTGGTCCAGTCGTGTGTTGATGGACACTTAGGTGGTTTTTCTCCTTTTGGCTGGTGTGAATAATACTATTGTGAATACTGGTGTACAAATATCTGAGTACCTGTTTTCAGTTCTTTTGTATGTACATCTAGGAGTGCAGTTACTGGGTCATTTGGGAATTCTACATTTAATTTTTGAAGAGCCACCAAACTGAACCACTTTATAGTCTCACCAGTGATGCACAAAGATTCTACTTTTTCCACACCCTTGCCAACGCTTGTAAGGTTTTTTTTGTTGATAATAGCTATCCTAATGAGCGTGAAGTGGTATCTCATTGTGGTTTTGATTTGCATTCCCTGATGACTACTGATGTTACGATGTTACCATGCAGTCATATGCTTGTTAACCATTTATATATCTTCTTTGGAGAAATGTCTTATTCAAGAGCTTTGTCCCCTTGCGAGTAGTATTGTTTCTTCTTTTGGTTGTTGACTTATAGGAGTTCTTTATCTAGTCAGGGTATGAATCATTTCTCAGGTACATGATTTACACAGTGTTGTTTTTAAGGGAAAATTTCTAGAACTAGAAAATCTTCTGTATGTGTTTTCCACCTACTTCTGTATGTGATTTTTCACACTTAAGAGTTGATTCTGTGGAATTTCATAACATTTGGTCATCTAAATAAAGTAAATCACATATTTTTTTAAAAAGTCTTTTGTTCTTAAAACCCACTAGTCTTACAGGCACATTGATTTTGAACAAATCATTGTTAGATTTGAGGATATTTAGCCAGCATGAGAGAGAACGGTTCAGTGTATGATAGAACTTTCAGTGACATAGCATT